TCTATGCTGGAGAGCAAGTTTCAGAGTCTCTTCTGACATCCATTTTGACCTTTTCCTTCTTTCTTGTCTTCTTAATGACTTTTTGCTCTCTTCACGTATGATGTTCTTGATGTCATCCCACAACTCTTCTGGTCTTCAGTCTTTAGTGTGCCATAGTCACACTGAAAATGTGGAGACAGTTTCCATGTGTCCGAGGGCTGTTCTTTCTGTGAGTGGGTGCATGCGTAAGAGATCTGATGATCGAGTCAGTAGTGGTGGTGGTGATGTGCCGTGCAGTCAGTTCTGACTCATAGCGACCCTGCATAGGGTTTCCAAGGTTGTAAATCTTCACAGGAGCAGAAAGCCTCATCTTCTTCCCACGGAACAGGTGGTAGTTTTGAACTGCTGGCCCTGAGGTTAGCTGACAGATTCGTAACCATTACACTACTGAGTAGTTAGGGACTCCCAGAATCTTGTTTCACCTTCCCCTGGGTTGCGTCCAGTCCCTAGTGCTGTTGGTGCTGCCCATCCCCCTTCATAAAGTCGTATGTTTTAGGGGCCGGTTGTCTTTGAGGACGTGGCTGTGGACTTCTCTCTGGAGGAGTGGGCTTTGCTGGGTCCTGCTCAGAGGAAGCTCTACAGAGATGTGATGCTGGAAACCTTCAGGAACTTGGCATCAGTAGGTAAGCATAGCATTGCTTCTTCACTTAGTTATTTAGAGAAGAAGCATTTTTTGTTCACCAGATCTGTTTCTAAAGGTGGAATGTGGAAAGAGGATTTACGTTGGTTAGTGAGACAGATAGGCTTGCTACCACAATGGAGACAGAGTCGTATTCTTCATAGCAGTTAGAGTACGTATTAAAACTCAAGTTTTTCTTTTTGCCTCACGTTCAGCCATATGGATAGAGCTGTCCCAGGACATTTTGAGGGCCAGAGAACTTTGTTTTTGGAAAGCTGAGGGAATCTTGCTGTTTCTATTATAAAGTTGTTTTCCATTTTGACCCCATGTGCCTGTGATTGGTGAAGATAAGTTTTTAAACACGGAAACTCATCAACGTATTGTGTTTTGCAGACAGGAGCCTTCTTTCTCACAAGATTTGTTCACTTTTCTCCTTTAGATGATGAGACGCCACTGAAAGCCTCTGGGCCGGTGTCTCAACAGGACGCTCATCAGGAACAAATATCCCAAGAAGATAATGTACAAAAATCCACAAGAAATGCTTCTTGGTCCTCCATTTTAGAAAAAATTTGGGAAGGCCGTAGTATTGAAGATGAGCATAAAGACCAGGGGCGACCTCTGAGGTGAGTAGCACACCAAGAGAAAGCAGTATCCCAGGAGAACCATACAATTTCATGAAGTTTAAACAATGTGAATGAACAAGAAACCCAGCTACGCCTCACTCCATAATTGCTTATTCCCAAGAAATCCTCAGTTGCATATGACTTAGACATTGAGTGAAAAACAATTGCATTGGAAATAATGATTTTTTTAAAAAGATCCATTTCTGTAAGAAATACTGCTTTCATAATGGCTGTGGTCAGGTCCTCTTTTAGGACATTCCGTTTAGTCCACTATCAAACAATTTACGTATTTATGAAAATGGTTAAAATGAAACCCAAAATACCTACTGACAGATAATAATATATTAATAATAGCATGCTTTTGTTTGTTTGAATAGAGATTGTGTGGTTGAGACTCTCTGTGAAAGCAGTGAAGGTAACCAGTGGGGAGAAGCTCTCGGCCAGATTCCAAATCTCAATCCGTACAAGAAAACCTCGACTCAAGTCACTTCATATGAATGCACCGAGTGTGGCAAAGTCTTCATGTACCCTTCGTCATATAAGAGACACATTGCAAGTCACACCGGGCACAAACCATATCAGTGTCCAGAATGTGGGAAAGGCTTTGGTTTTCCATCAGAACTAAGACGACATGTGAGAATTCACAGTGGAGAGCGACCCTATGCATGTGAATTATGCTGGAAAACCTTCATTCATCTGCGATCGTACCGAAGGCATGAAAAGGTTCATAGTAAGGAGAAACTTTATGAATGTAAACAGTGTGGAAGTACCTTCAGTTTTCTGGACTCCTACCAAAGGCACGAAAGGACTCATAATAAAGAGAAATTCAATGAATGCAAGGAATGTGGCAAGGCCTTCAAGTGGCCCTCATCTTTAACAAGACACATGAGAACTCACAGTCGCGAGAAGCCCTATGAGTGCAAACAGTGTGGGAAAGCCTTCAAGTGGCCCATATCTTTGCAGACACATATGAGAACACACACTGAAGAAAAATCCTACAAATGTAAGCGATGTGGGAAAGCTTTCATTTGGCCCGTATCGTTACGTACCCACAGGAGATCACACTGTGGAGAGAAATCCCATGAGTGTAAACAGTGTGGGAAAGCCTTCAGTTGGCCCATATGCTTACAGAGACACATGAGAGTGCACACTGTACAGAAACTTTATGAATGCAATCAGTGTGGGAAAACGTTCCGTTGGCACTTTTCCTTGCGTAGACATTTGATAACACACTCTGGAGCCAAGCCCTATGAGTGTAAGGACTGTGGGAAAGCCTTCAGTTGGCCTATCTCCTTACGAGAGCACATGACAAAGCACTCTGGCAAGATATTCTACGAATGCAAGGAATGTGGGAAAGCCTTCTACTATCTCCAGTCCCTTCGAAGGCATGAAAGGACTCACAGCAAAGAGAAACTCTATGAATGCAGGCAGTGCGGAAAAGGCTTCAATCAGCTCTTCTACCTTCGGAGGCACGTGCGAATGCACACTGGAGAGAAACTTTATGAGTGTAAGGAGTGTGGGAAAACCCTCAAGTGGGCCTCCTCCTTAACAATCCACATGAGGATGCACACGGGCAAGAAGCCCTATGAATGTAAGCAGTGCGGGAAAGCTTTCAACTGGTCAATCTCTTTACGAGCACACATGAGAATGCATTCTGGTGAGAAACCCTATGAATGTAAGCAGTGTGGGAAAGCCTTCTACTGGTCCATATCCTTACGAGCCCATATGACCACACACACTGGGGAGAAACCTTACGTGTGTAAACAGTGCGGGAAGGGTTTCAATCAACTGTCATATCTTCGACGACATGTGAGGATGCATTCTGGGGAGAAGCCTTACGAATGCAAACAGTGTGGGAAAGCTTTCAAGTGCCCCTCGTCCTTACCAAAACACATGAGGACTCACACTGGAGAGAAGCCTTACGAGTGTCAGGAATGTGGGAAAGCTTTTGTTTCCTCCTCAGCTTTGCGCTATCATGTAAGAACACACAGTAGAGCAAAAAACTATCAGTGTAATGTGTAAATGTCTCTGACAGTAATTCACACCGGGAGAAGACCCTCGAAAAAGCTCTCCCTGTGGTGGTACCTTGATCACTGCCTCCTCCTTTAAAGTAAGAAATAACTGTAATAGGAGAATTGGTCCAGGGGGCAGTTTTCGTATTAAGTTCCATCGTTTGCCTTTCAACACTGAAGTCTTAGGGACTCCTGAGTATTTTGTAGTGTATTTGTAATATACATTTAGGTGTCATTTTCATGATGTATTTTAGTTTCTACAAGTAAGCATTTATTAATACAGTGACACCTTGATGTTGGGATTGTCTTAACAACTTAATACAGTCGGTATTGAGTATCTGTTACCTGTTATTTATACTCCTTCTTATTGACATAACTGTTTTCATTGCCAGAGAGGCCTTACACGATTTTCTTCAGTAGAAATGAGTAATTTATGTAAAACTGTTGTAAAGGTGTATGTTCTTGTTGTTAATTGCTTTTGAGTCAGTTATGACTCATAGCGGTTCCGAATAGGGTTCCCGAGAAGCAGCTGGTGGGTTTGAGCCACCGACCTTGCAGTTTAAAGTTTCATTCCAGAGCTTATCCTACAGTACCACACCGGACTAAAGGTTCTTCTATAGTAAGTTGTGACTTTGAGCCTTTGTTATTTCAATGTAGGTCATATTGGAAATTACATCTACGAGAATTGCTTCCCTATATGGTTCTACGTTCAAAACTGCCATAGCCTAGTTGCCTGAGATTTGTAAATGGAAATGCAGCCTCTATTGCTGCCTTTTTGTAGCCACAATACCTGGAGACAGACAGATGCATTGTGCCTTTTCTGGACTCCCAGTTTCCAGCTGATTTTCCTGTTTTGTGGTTCTGCCATTGAAGAACATGCTCAAAGCAAATAAATGATCGGCTTCAGTTTTTCCCAGGTACACGTTTACATAGACAATTCCATGCGCTTGGCATCAGGAGGCACACTTTAACTAGTCAACCAATTTCATTTCCCTGAAAACTTTAACATGTTCAGCTGGTGTGGTTCTGTAGTAAAAGCACTTTACTGCTAACCACAGGGTCAGCGGTTCAAACCTACCGGATGCTTCTCAGAAACACTATCCAGGGTCGCTATGAGTCAGAGGAGTCTTGGTGTGGCGCTGCAGGATAAGACACTGGACCTAAAGGCCAGCGGTTCAAACTCACTAGCTCCTCCTTGGAACCCCTACACAGGGTCAGTATGAATCAGAACCATCTCGATGGCATTTAACCAACAAATGAGTCACTACTGACTCCACCGCACTTAACAGTAAGCTAGCTGCTCATCGTGTTTGCTGCTCTTACTTGCCTCGTCTATGTATCTTAGTATGTTTCGGTAAGGCTTAATTTATGTTGTGATAACCTTGTTCTCTCAGCATTTCAAATGGTGTTCCTGATTATACCATGATAGAGTGGTGAAGTTAAAACACAAAAGCATGGGTATTGTGACACATATGTTAACAGTGATTACAGGAAAATTAAAGCCATGAGGCATTTCGTTTCCCTACTACCTGTATCGCCCTACTGCAGTTTTTGCCTTGTGCTGACCATAGCTTTCATTTGTGACCAAGCATTTTTATCCTAGAGATTTAGGGCGCTTTCTGGTACCGCTGAATGCCATCTGTGTCTTCAGATTCTACTATGCTGGATTCATTAAACACAATATGTAGCTCACCACCACCGCCCCCTAAACAACCATTGGAGTCCTGGTGTGGTACTGCTAGAATAAGCACTGGACTGCTAACTCCCAGGTTAGGGGTTCAAACCTACCAACTGCTTCTCGGAAACACCATAAGTTGGAACTGACTTAACAGCATTTAACAACAACAAACAAACCTATGTAGCTATTTCTTAGAAATACCCCCTTTTTTTCTTTCAGAGCAGATAATACTTAAAAAGGTCATTCTCTGCATTTTCCAGTAGCTGGTACAGTAAGTGAAAAGACTGTATTGCAGTATGGATTGCAAATAATGTATTTTTTCCAGGTATAGCAATATACATATTTCAGGCAAAATTACCAAGTATTTCAATATATATACGAATGTATGTATAATTTAAGACTTTTCTTTTTTGTAAACTTTATTTTTTATTAAATAGTCACAATATTTGTTACTCACATAACTTTTTATCTACTGTGAATGAAAATGTAACTAATGGTGTGGTCACTGATCTCTAGACAAACTCCTGTGGTCAGCGGTCAATAGATGAACTGCGTCATAGCAGTTGGAATAAACACGTGATAAAGGACTCTGGAATGTTTCTGCCTGTGGGTTTTTTAAAGGACTTAGCAGGCTTGGACAGAAACTTTCTTCCGTATTAGCTTTCACTCGGGTCATGGATGTATTTAGTTAGCCATCTTAAAAGTTCTTATCTGGAAGGCCAGAAGAATTGAGTAGAGCTAAGTGGTCCTCTTTGGCAATGGAGCTGCTTTGAGTCCTGTTTGTAAGAAGCGGGCAATGTTTGTGTCTTACATGATAAGAAGATGGACATTTTTGTTTTAATGACCCACAGAGATCTAAAGGAATAGTTTCCTTTTTCAAGGTATCATTTGCATACATTTAGATTTGTAAAGCTCGCCAGGTGAGAGAAAAGAAAGTGGTATGCTCTTTAGACTGAAGACCAGCAATATCCAGTCTGTCACCATTTGTCCATGTAGTGTGGTGGTGCGGGTTAATGCTGTGGACTCCAAACTTGGTTTGAACCACAAGGTCGATGGCTCAAGCTCACCAGCTGCTCCTTGAAACCCTATACACAGTCGCTATGGGTCAGAAGCGACTTGACGGCACTGACATCAACACATCAACAAATCTTTTTTTTTTTTTTGCTTTTTGTTGTGAATTGAGTGAAGATTTACATTCAACAAATCACGAGCTTCGTTTCATCTCTATAATTGCAATCCCTTTCATGTAACTACAGGTGTCCTGCTTCCTCACTGTGGTTACTCATATACAAATACCCTCTTTCAAGCTCATCTATTTGTGGGATGTATAAATACATACACTCTTCCTCCCATACCCATTCAGTCTATGTTACGACCTTCTTATGTTTCAACAATGTTTTAGTTTGGTGGGGTTTTTTTCCCATCACTTTTTTTTTAAGGTTTTTATTGTGGATTGAGTATAAGTTTACAGGGTAGACCATGAGTTTTACATTGAACAAATCATACACCTTGTTTCATTACAATGATTATAATCCCCTCCATGTACCATCAGTTAACAGCATTTCTCTCAGGCTTGATTGGTTACTAAAGGCACTTGATTGCTAGCCTTGATGGCTTCCTGGCAAACAGCTTACTTGTTCTTGTATATATATATAGTAGCCAGTCATGCTGACATTTTTGTTTTGGGTTTTTCCTGATGATCTTTCTTTGAAGATGTATCTTCTGTTGCTCTAGCTGTTCCAGGTTGGTCTGCTTGTCCTTTTTAGTGGGAATGTCCCACCTCAGAAAGTTCTGGATGGGACTCAAGTTTCCACCTGAGGTCCTATATTCTGTAAAGGTTTTGCACGAGGCCTATTTCACTGGGCAAGTTCTAGAACCCCTTTTAGGTATTCCAATCAGTTATAGGCTGAAGGCGGGCTTACAAGTTTTCTCTAATCATGTTTCCCAACATTCCTTTCTATCCCACTCAAGTGTCTATTTTACAATAGTAGGCAAGGAAAACTAGTGTTCATAAGACAGTCAAGGATTTTAGTATTATTTCCCCTCTTCAAACGATGCCTAGATCCCTGTATCACAGAGCCCTCTTGTTCCAAGGTTGAGCATGCATCACTATTTCCCTCTCTCCCACTTAGGCCATGTAAACCTGTCTCAGTGTTCCCCTATCTATCTTGTTCTTCTGCCTCCCCCTTCTTGTATTGACCTCCCCAACACCTGAACTAAACCCTCCATCCAACCACACTGTTGTGGTTACCTTATATTCCATTAGTTCTTCCCTCCATTTAAGACAGTCTATTTTATCCTATAATCTACCCGACCTTCTCACCACCTGGATCTCTATTCCTCTGTGTTTACCTTCTTTCACATTGTAATTGTTTTGATCATAGACTGACCTCCCAGATCCTCTGTTCTTATCATTTTATTCTGTTCTTGACTCTTTCATTTGTGGATTGAGTTCAGGGTGATGCTGCCATGTACGTCATTCTTTAATTGTTGTCTGTTGTTGGTTTTCAGCCCACAGATTCCGTTTAGGATGCTTTTCATAGCAGGGTTGGCTTTGGAAAAATCCCTTAGCTTCTGTTTATCCTGGAATGTTTTGATTACACCATCATATTTGATTGACAGCTTTGCTGGGTAGAGGATTCTTGGTTGGAATTTTTTTTTCTTTCAGGGTTTTATATATGTCTCCCCATTGCCTTCTTGCCTGCATGGTTTCTGTTGAGAAATCTGAGCTTAATCTGATTTGCTTGCCTTTGTATGTTATACTTCTCGTTTCCCTAGCTGCTTTCAGGATTCTGCCCTTGTCTATGATTTTGGAGAGCTTGATTATTCTATGTCTTGTGATTGTCTTTTAGGGTCTATCCATCCTAGGGTTCGTTGAGCTTCTTAAATGCTTATCTTTTCACTTTTCAGGATGTTAGGAAAATTTTCTTCCAGCAGCTCTTCAACTATTTCCTCTTTGGACCTGTGTGAATCTTCCTGTTCCAGAATGCTGATAATTCTTAAGTTATTCCTCTTCATGTTGTCCAACATGAATCTTAGGCCTTCTTCAGATTTTTTTAAACACCTTTTTTGTGTTTGTTCTTCTAAGTAGTGTTGAGAGATTTATCTTCTAGCTCACTAGTTCTAGCTTCTATCTCTTCAGTTCTACTTCTCTGCGCTTTCAGTGTGTTGTCTATTTTTGATATTCTATTATTAATCGTTGGGACCTCTTTCTGTAGGTTTTGAACTGTGTCCAATGCAGTACCTGCCTTCTTTGCTTGTTCCTGTAGCACTTTCCTGACTTTTTCCTTATTTTTCTCAACTGCGTTGTGGAGTGTTTTGATACATTTCAT